CTGTGAACATGGACCATGAGGAATCATGGCTCTTGGAGAAGCTGAGGAGGTAAGTTATAAAGTTTTGTGTTTATAGGAATTCTATCTTGTACCAGCTCCAAACGAGGACAGAAACTGCCACTTTCTCCCCTGCATGCCTGAAACGAACAATTCAATGCAGAAATCTTCAGTTCAGATCCCACATTTCAATTTCTAACCAGAAAAACGATGAGATTGCAGCGTACAATCTCATCTCTTCTTCTTTCCATTATTAAGTCAATGAGCTTATTAAAAAGGTGCCCATGCTTTAATCATCTAGTACTTTTAGGATGTACTCCTCTTTCTGTGGCTTACATGCAAGAGAGGGGAAAAAAGCCTGTGGAAAATCCTATTTGTTCAGTAACAATTGTTGCACTTACAAATCTTAAAAACTGAAAATAATAATTTATTTCAGGTATTATTAAAAATGCTTATAAACAAAGTTTTTAGCAAATTTAATATAAGAATATATGAAGAAGGAAAAATCTCTTTTCTTCCGTTCTAAATGACATACATGATAATATAGATCTAAATATTGAGGATTTGGTTAAATATACACATTCGTAGTGCCCTGGCCTGAAGACTGCAATGTGTAAGTGGGACAACTTGTTCACCAAACAAAGGCTATTTTTCAGAATGGTGGAGCTTCCAGATAAAGTATCATTGTTCTGCTTATTTTAATAGTAGATTAAGGGGTGTGTGTATAATTTTTTTTCTCTAGTTTACTGATAGTTCTAGTTCTACATAACCAGTGGAAGTTTTAACTCTGTTTAGAAGTGACTTCCCTAGGTACTAGAGGAACAGGTGAAGTAATCTGTAAGAATTAAGTCTCTGTTTTCGTGTAAACAAATCAAAATGGCAGCTCTCATGAACCCCAACGAACAAGAATTATTAATGCCATGTCATTTTTACACCTAACAAAATTTTATACTGAATAGATATAAACCATGCCACAAAACTAAATAGGAGTACTTTGGTCAAGCAAGAATCTGTTCCAAGAGCACTAGTGTACGCAAACACTTTAAAAAAAAAAAGTTATTCAAAATAAGCAGATTTGGATCAACATCACTGTTCAGGTCTGTGGAATATTCTGCACTCTTTATACAATGATATCTTTTTTCAAACTTACCTAACTAGACAACAAAATTGAATAAACAGCAATCATTTGTTGGTGTGGTTTTTTGTTGGGTTTTTTTGTTTTTTTTTTTAAAAAAAGTATATTGGTTACAAATTTGCCGTGAAAGTAGAACCAAAACTTCACTTAAGGTGTCTTCCAGTAGCTACACACACACATACACAAACAAAACACCACGGTTGTGAAGGTGTGTTTTCACAATATCTCCGATAAGTCTACCACTGCTATTAATCACAGCTGTTTTTTACAGTAATTTAAAACTGGATCCATATCAACAGGGCAAAGAAGTAAATGGTTCCAACTGTGGCCTACATTGCACTAACTTGCACTGCTGCCTTAGCACCCACTGGAATAAGTTTTGTGTTTTACGGTTTCACTTATGCTTCCTCCATCCAGCAGGTTAAGAGAATGTGCTTTTCTGTAATAGAGTGGAGGCACTAAAGGTCCTGAAACTACTGATGAGTCTCACTGGTGTTCCCTGGGCACTCACCATCCCTGCCTGACTTCTCTGTCCCTTTCCCTTCCGTGTATGCTTTAACACTTCCATAGCCTATAAAGCTCATGTAAGTGCTGACTGCAGAGACTGCAGCAATGAAGACTTGCGGAGGACAAGCTTGATCCTACAGCCATCTTATTCTCTGACTGCAAATGGCTTGCTTAGGAGAACTGATAATCTGTGCATGAAAGCACAAGGAAAACTGAAATCCAATTGCAAACTGAATGCCCATGAACCACTCACTGCATGCAGTTTCACATGATCAAAGTGTGTAACTAAATTCTGACCAGAAGGAAATGTTAAGAGAAAACATGATCGGAAAATTATGCTATAAAACTAGTGATTCATCAGGCAACCCTCAGGGATCGCCCCAAGCACAGCTGGGAAGACAAAAAACCCTCCCGCTAGTGGCCCAACACAGATGCGGTTCCCAGCCATTGCCACAGAGTATTTGTGGAACTGCCATCTTAGTGTGAGATGTCTAAATCACACTCATCTTGTTCATGCTCTCAGCTCCAACAGAAGTTGGTTTACCGTTTTAGTGGCAGCTGGCTAGCACTTTCAAAACAAATGTATCTGGCATCTGATGTTTTAGAAGATCAGCTCCTAATTAACGTCAACCCTTAACCTCCAAGCTAATGTCTGTACCACTGTTTGTCAAAGCGCTCAGCTGGAGGCGTGTGATCAGGAGATAAACCATTCTATCCCTGAGCAATAAGTAGTGCTGGAATTATGCAAAGGCCATATGAGCTCTCCTATATTGTAGGAAATTAAGTTAGGGAAAATATTTTCAGCTTGATTTCAATACTGTGCGTAGAAACTTTGAAATTGTTACCACTCTAAATCACGCGCGCGCACACACGCATTTGTTTTACTACTACTAGCGGGTAATATTCTTAAGAGAAGCCAGCACGGTGACTACTGTAAAGATGACCCAGTTATTGATAGAAATACACAAAATCAGAATTTTCATGACATGGTACCCTGCAAAATGACATCGTATCTGCAAGAGTAAAAGACAGACCTTAACAACCTGGGAGACTAACCTTGTGCTCAAATGCTAGTTCATTTAATACAGTCATGGAATTACACACAGATCCCTCTTTTGAAAGGAAGTAGGCCCTTCTACCACCGCAACTTAAAACGAAAAATAAGATTTTGGAGTCTCTTGGCTGATAGAGGTAGATGACTAAAGCAACATTAGCTTTGAACTTTGCAGCAGGGACAGGGATTACTGTCAGGAGACATGCTACACAATATCCAGTGCTTGAAAAGAACTTTGTGTTCAATCAATGTTGCTTTTAAGTCTCCTCAGCAAATTTAAAATTTGTCTAGCAAGTTCCTCCCTCACAAGCCTTATATTCCCACACCTATTTAACACTAACAAGCAGGAGCTTGCCAACAGTGAACTGACTGGAGGGAGACAGTCTGGCATACCTGTGCAATCTTCTCCTAGCTGCAGAGGACAGGAGAAGAAACTGATCAGGTGAATAGAATTAATCAGAAGCCAAGACAGAACACAGAGTAATTCCTCCAAGTTTGTGCTTTGAAGAACTAGGTGTGATACTACTGAGAAAGCATTTGTAAAACCTGAAGACTGCTTCAATGTGGTTTGTGGATATCTCATTTAGCTTTGGTAGCTGGCTGACTTGGCAATGCAGCATAAAAACCCAGCCCCTTGTAATGTAGTTACCTGCTCCTAATTAGTGTGAGCTACCGAACTTTTAATATTTTTCCTAAATCTTCAGCAAAGAATGCCCCTTCCCTTAAAGGAAGCATTATAAAAACCAAATTACTGATGTGCCAGAGATCTTTCAGGAAGTTTGAAATAGGTAACTGACAATCTTGCCAAGTAATGTCTAAAAAAATAAAGATCTTCATTTATAAGATACTTTGCTGCCTTCTAAAGGCAAAAGCCACATTACTATGCCCTTCAAAAAGCACACTGAAACTTCTGAGTGAATACAGAGTATAGACTTAGGTTTACTTCTACACTGTCTTAATAGGTTTCAACTGCATTTCTTGTTTCCTTTATACATCAACTTTCAAAATCATTAACCAACAGAGAGACTGATTCTGGTCTAGCTAGAGACAAGGAACACCTGAAAGTAAGGGGAAGGGAGAAGGCACGACACTCTCTTCATCTCAACTTCCTGAAATTAAAAACAAACAAACCAACCAACCAACCTGAAAAAGAAATCTCCTATTGACTTCAAGCTTTTTCAGTGTCAATAATCTGGTTTTAACTTTTAAAGAAATGGGTTTTTATGTGCACTTGTAACTTCATCACAGGTTTTAACACATGCATATTATTCAGTCATGAAAGTTCTCTTGGTGAATTTACTGCAGTGAAAGTACCTGCATGAAGAATCTGCAAACTGCTACTATGTTAAATTAACTACAACACTTCAGAAATATTACCACTTAGGGAAAATTTCACACATTTTACTTCTAGTAAGTTCATTGAGAGACTGGAGAGAAATTTAAAGCAGCAGGAAAACTTCTATTTGGCCCCTGTAATTTGACACGTCCATTCTTTGAAGCTCAAATGCTGTAATTCTGAACACTACAGATTGTCTTAACACAGCTGATGCTATAAAGCATGAGAAGGTAAACAATTCACCCATAGGAATTTCATTACTTTTTTTCTCCTCCAGCGTAAAGATTCCCATTAGAATAAGGAAGAAAGTGACTCCTCTGAAGTTTACAGATGCCTTAGTAAAAGGGCTTCCTTTAGCTCACCATCTTAAGATCTGTCTCTTGGACTGAGACAGTCAGAGTCACCTCCGTACTCAGAGTAGTCCACACGTTTTGCACAGTCACCAAGTTCCACAAAACAATGTGATCTTTGTACACTTGCACATCACTTTGTATACAGCAACACTAACGGCTTCAAACTGTGGCAGACACATTTATTTCTAACATGAAGTTTTTATGATTTGGTTCATAAATGCAGTTCTCCCATTTACTTATGTCCAGCACCTCACACAAACACGAGTGCCCATGTTTGGGGTCTGCTGACCAACACTGTAAGCTGAAAGGAAATCTTGGGTTTAAAGCACCCAAAAAGCATCTTGCTGTACAAGTCCTGATCACCCATTATTGTAGTTCCCACCTTTGCTTCCCTTGCAAGTGTATCGCTTTATCGAAAGTGAAGTGGAAATAGATACAACTATTTAATGTTTAAAGTGTAAACCTTCTCTGTAACCTATAGGACCTATTGTTTATACTGTTTTGGATGCAGCTAGTTAGCGGATACCACAATCCTCCTTCTGAGTAAAATCAGCCTATTACAGCTTTTTCTCTTATTGCACATTTTATTATATCTGTTGTAAAAAATAATCAAAGATATTTCCTGTTGCTTTTGATGTTATAAGCACTTGCGATAGGTTTAGATTGTTTTAAAACTTCCCAATAAACATGTCAAGAGGAACAGACTGGAAGTTCCCCAGTTGGTGTAAGAAGGCAGATTCCAGAGCAGGGAAGACTCCAAAGTACAGGTTCCCCTCTACATCTCTTAGTTTGAAGCTGCCTAAATATTATCCTCAAGGCAGACTACAAGTTTAATGGCATGCACCCAAGATCTATATTCCCAAGCTTCCTAGGGGACAGATTCAAATTTGAGAACTCCACCTCGAACCCAAGCAATGGAGGGCAAATGCCTGTCATGATCTTTGTCTGACTCGGGCTGGCTCTGGGCACGCTCTGGCTTGGGGTTTGAAGAAGGTGGATCAGGCTGCTGTACAGACATAGTCCTGCGGAGATGGTTTCTCTTGCGCAAGAACTCAGGTTGGGAGTGGAGGCCAAAGCTGCCTTTTCTCAAGATCATCCGAGAGTTGTTCTTTTTGGGTCGTGAATGGAGACTGAACTCCAGCGAGGCCAAGTGGGCTGCATAACCTTCACTGAGGAACTGAAATAGGAAGGAAAGAAAGGGAGTGACAAATAACATCTGCCTCAACCTATGAGCTCTATGAGGAATTAAGTTCCTATCTCTGGCATCCCAGCTAGATACCTACAGAGTACTAATACTCCTCTCCCCTCGCTTTTTTTTTTTTTCTCAGCAACCTGTTCCATTTTGTCATTCAGCAATATGCAATGCATGCACTTGCAGCTACAACCTATGACCACTCAATTCTCATTACTATTGACCCTGCCAGAAAATGCCTCACCTGAACCCAAAACTGCCCTTCTTTCTCTGATACATTGTCTCTGCTCTTCATCTTCTTAAATGTGCACGTTTGCATATGCATTTCCTTGTTCTCCCTAGGACTTGCTGGTTGAGTAGCAAGAGTTACTTACTTGACACTGTGCCTGGTGTTTCTTTGTTGATCGTCCAACTATGTAGATCTGGGACGGTGACAGAGCCAAGACATTGTACACAGAAATATCCTTCATGGAACCGTATGCAGCACAGATTTTGATGTGGCACTGAAACAAATATTACTTCAAAGTGAATGCTCTATTGAACACCATGCACTACAAGGATGACAGTTATTTTGCAATGAAGCAGCAGATGAGTCCATTGTTAACAACCTCATTTTGTAAACTACAGAAAGCTAAATCTGTCTGCCTGCAATGCCAGTAAGAACTACAGATATGCACACAGGAAAGAATAAGCAGTTCATTTATTGATTTGGCATGCCAGGAGGCCCCTTTGGATATTTTATCAGCCTTCCTTTCTCTTTAAAAAGTGAGGAAAAAAATGAGGAATGGCAAAAAGACTTTGTGATGGCCAGTGAGATTTGCTGTTCAGAAGGAAAGGAGATCTCTAACTTCATTGAATGACATTCTCTGGAAAAAGGTTTTAAGGCTATAAACACGTTTCTAATACCTCTTGCATCAGATTCCGGAGAAAAATGGTCTTTTGTCGCAGTGGGTCATGAACAAGTCCATCTGAGAAGAAGATCATCCCTTGTGGGAAGTTGTGTTGAGACAACCATGAAACCACACGCTGTTTTTGCATATCTGGACGGCCAGTAATATAGATAATCAGATATCCCAGGTCCTGCCAATGCCTGTCAGAAATAGTAGGTAAATTATGAAGGTGCAGAAAGAGAAACAACACCCACAGGTCAGGTCAGCATTTCTTTGCACAGCACAGACTCAGAACTTATCAAGGGTTATCCTTCAACAAGTGAAAGCAGCATGCCTAAGTCTCTGTTCCTATTGAGAAATTAAGTAATAATCATAGAATGGCTAGGGTTGGAAGGGA